CACATGTGTGGCAGTTACTGCAGACTCTGAGTTTTATCTTCTTGCTACAATGCAGAAGTTAATTCCTGCTGCCTGCTACTTTCCTATTGTCCAGGCTTCTTGCTGAATTTTGTCCTTTCTTATTCATTCCGTTCAGCTGTTTGCTCAGCTCCATTCTCTCATGGCATGGTTTCATTCTCCATTCTCTTGTTCCCTTCCATTCTCAATTCATTTAGACTGTGCAGAGGCAGGAAAGTATTTCCTTCCATACCAGAAGAGAAAGAAGGAATGTATATGCTATTTAAACCTGACTGGTTTGTAAATCCTTCTGAGACAGAATGCCATCTTCTTACCTAAGCCTATTCCTGACAGGTAGAGGGCAGGGGATATTGCTTTTAAAAATCCACACCCTGAAATCAGTAAATATGTAAAAATGAACTCAAAATGATTGGATGATCAGGTTATTCTATTTCACATCGGAACAAGGACCAGTGTTTTCAACAGGTAATTAATGTCTCTCTGTCTCTCCATTTCCAAAGTCACTTTTTGTCTGTTTTTAAGAAATATCTATCAAGCAGAGATTCAGTGAAAAGTGGGGAAAGCAAAACAAAACAACAGGAAAAAACAAAACAAAACTCTAATTTATTAGGCTACTCTGATTATTAAATGCATAAACTAATAGCCTGATTACATTAAAAAAAAAAAAAAAAAAGAAAGAAAGAAACTGTAAGAGATTAAAAGAAGGGGGATTACATTAAATTGAAGAATTGAAGCAGGGATTAAATATTTTTTTCCTAAAGGCTTTTAACACATTTTCCAAAGACCTGCTTATGAGCATAATTTGACTGATGAAAAGTATTTCTTTTAGAGATAATAGACTAAATAATCATGTAATTAAGCCATGTTAAGCATGGTGCTAGTAAGCCGATGATAGCATGTTACAGATATGTAAGAGCTCCTTCTATGAGTCACAGGTGATTTTTTTTTTCTGTCCTTCAGTAAACTCTATAAAATTCCAAGACTGACTTAGCAGAGATGTGTTCTGCGGCCACACTGCAGTGGTTTCACTGAGCTGTTAAATGGGAAAGATGCTTTAAAACCATTTTAACAGGGAAGCACACAAACTTCAGTGTTTGGGAAGCTGAAGCACCAAAGAGAGAAATTTGTTTAACGTTTTCATTACAACAGTACCTAAAAGGCCACAATTGGATGAGGCCTCGTTCTGCCAGATGGCATGCAATTACATGGTAAATATCTTCATCAAATGCTTGTGCTCCAAGGGAAAGAAGATACCACTTGTTCTTCAAGTTATTCTTAGAGCTGGGAATAGAAACTGTCTCCTTACCTCAGTGCTCTGCAATAGCTTTCCCCCTGGATGTGGTTTGAGATGTGCCCCCTCCTCCTGTGAGAACTGCTTGCCTCTCAAATTAGGAGGTATCGGAAGGTAATTTGGAGACACGTTTAAAAAATAATACTTTTTTAAATGGCAGCAAGCAACAGTGGCAAAAAACAAATGGTGAGAGCATGTCCTTAAACTGTATGACATGCCATTACATAAAGAGCTGTAAAAAACATCTGAGATTGCCAAGTGCTGCACAAAACAATGAATTTTTGCCATGATATGGAAAAAACTTCATGTTTCTTAGCAAGCAGGATCCTAATGCTAATCTGTAGACTCACACCAATTTGGCTGAGACTATACATGAAATTCAGAGTAAATAATGAGTAGAGGAGTAGTAGGTTGACAGGAAGGAGGAAAAATGTTATTGGGAGGGAAATTATATTTTTGGGGGACCAGCAGTGGGTTCATGGATCATTTTCAAAACAGTGAGGAGGGGGACTTCAGAAAAAACTTCCCAAATAAGAAAAGCTTAAAACATAAACAAATGGACATGTAGGCAATGTATAAAGCTGGCAGAATTTATATTTTAAGAGCATGTTCTAATGTCTTGATTGAGTTAATACTATATACTAAAAAATGGGCAGCAAACTCAGTGGTGTTATTCAATGTGTGAAGGGGTGTGAGAATCTGCCCTGCATGAAAGGCTCTGCTCTGATGCTTTTACACAAGTAAAGTATTTAATTATGCAAGTAATATTTAAAAAAAATACTATTTGACAATTGTGCTTGAAGATATTTGGCTAATTTGCATACGGAGTCCAATTTTGCTTTGAGCTTATTAAATTTTCCCTTTTTGTTAAGCTTCCAAGTTCATTTAGCAATGTGAATTTGTATAAAAGAAGTAACATCTGTGTAGACACCCTGCACTTTGCCGTGCTCATTTCTTTGAACTTTGTATGCCAGCTCAGGAGCAATAATATCAAGTGACTTCAAAGGACATCTGCTTCCAACAATCCGCAATGGCTTGTATTTCAACTTGGTAAGCAGCAGAGCTCACCAGACCTGTTATTTCATTTGATGGCCTGTGCTGCTCTTTTCATGTATTGAACTCCAGACCAACTCAGTGCAAATGAAAGCCCAAACTAGTGTAGAATTCACTGGGGTTGAGGGAAAGAAAGTTCGGTGTGCATGTCTGTCAAGACTTAGACACAGAGCATATTTTTAAAGTAAACCTGGAAGATAAGTTTCACACAAGCAGTCAGTAATAAAGCTTGATAACATTTCCTTCTGTCATGCCCACTTACTTGCTTCCCTCCTTCTTTCATATCTTGTCTGAAACTAAGACTCTTGGAAAAGGATCTGTCACTGTAAGTCAACTGAACTCCAATTTGTCTGGCTGTGTACTGCATAAATGAATGGCAATAATTAGCAGTTCATTCATTTTGCATTTCAGTAGTGTTCATTACAGTAAATATATCCCCCACCACCACACGCAATCATTTAAGGCATCAAATGATATCCCTACAAAGTGGTTATTCAAATTGGCAGATCTCTCTCATGTGTTAAGGGATAGAAATACATCAAATTTGACATAGAGTCTTCATATTGCTTGCCAGTGGATTTCTGAAACAATATCAAGGATAAAAGCTGGACTAGTTGGCTCACTTCAGGTTTAATATAGGTGAGCTTCAGCTCCAGCCATAGTCTTCCACTGGAAGTTTTCTCTTCAGGCTGTGAGTGGGGAAATATATGCAATCAGAACCAAGCTTTTGCCAACATGTAAATTAGCATAGGATGATGCATATTGCCAATGAAAGAGCCAATTTCACCTTTCCAGGTGCCTTCTATTTCTCATTTTTTATTATTATACCTTGTCACTGGTTCAAGCTGTTGTGTGACTGTACATTGAGCTGCATCAGAGGTCTCACCTGAGTTAAAGCCTATCAGCTTTTTTCTGATCTGGTTCACCAGCTGGTCCCACAAACCTTGTGTAGGAGCAAACCAAAGTGCCATGAGCAGACAGAAAAACATGGCCAGGGGCAGCAAACAGAAAGGACTTGGGTTGCAGTGCTCGATTATACTTGTTTAAAGGGTGCGTGAAACTTAAGGCTTGATTCTGCTCTGATTGTGTCTTCCAAAAAAATCCTCCCTTTGATTTCTGTAGGTACTGCATCTGAGGAAGGCCTGCTGCCCTTAGTCCTTGACTCTTGCTTTGGGGTATCAAATAAATAGCACAATGCAGTGCTATATGCTGACCTACATCAAATAGTTCATAATGCTGTTAGTCTTTTTTATTCCATTCAGAAAATGGTCGTCTGGGGAATGGTACATAAAATAAAAAACAGGTGTTGGTCCCAGAGCTTTCACCTCTCTCTCAGCAGTTCCAGGAGGTAGATTTCTGTCATGGTGTTGGTCAAGTTTTTTCTCCTATTCTCTCTCTCTTCCATTCTCTCATAGCAGGAAAGGAGATAAAATCCAGCCCTTCTACCTGCAATTCGGAATCAGCTCTCTTAACCCTTGGCTAAGAGCCAGGCTAAACCCTGGGGCCAAATTCCCTGTCAGAGCCAAGCGTTCTGTGACTTGTCTCTATTCGTTAAAGATGGGAAGGAAGACTTACCTGGTCCAATGCAAACAGCGATTTCCTCTTCTATACTAATGTTTTAATAATGGTTGGAGAGAGAGGAATTTGTGAAGATGTTTGAATTCAATCTGTGTGCAAGGACAAAACCCGATCCCATTGCACTCTGTTCAAGTATCAAGTAAACATACCCAACTCCAAGTGCACAGCATAGGAGCACGTTTGAATATGTGCTTGTAAGAAATCTCCACAGCCCCCATCAGATCCTTCAGCATACAGTGCCAGCTGCAGTGTTCTCAGTCCTGCCCTCACAGGGCAGAGGCCAGCAGATCAGCAGGGTTGTGAGCCACCCCATCATCTCTGGGGTGCTGAGCGGCCGAGAGCAAGCACTACAAGGCACCCTACCAGCACGTCCCTCAGCAAGCTAGAACAAAAGTGATTTTGTCCTGGTTAAGGCTTTTCCTAGCTGAGGATGAGTAGGCAGACTTCGCTTTGCAATTTTGAATTTCCTGGCTTCCTTCACCTTCTGTTTCACAAAATACCTGATGCCTATACCAATAGCATAATGACGTATGGCCTGTTGCAGCTTATTTCTATAATGTTCTTGCTTTTTATTTGCGTGGTGTGGCTAATAGGATAACTTACGTAAAACAATTTCAGGTTTATTGCCTACATCAGTCACTGCAGAAGCTATCAACAGATACTTGCATCACCCACCCATTACAGCCATGCTGGTTAAAATAATGTGGTGCGACAGTGTGACTCCCCACCCCCACAACTTATTCTTCAGCTTTACTGCCATGTTTTTTGCAGAGTAAGGTGAAATTCCTAATGCACATGTGCCAACAGTTATAAATGCTACTACACTGCACCTGCAATGTGTAGATGTGAGCAATGCATGCTCTGGTGCTTGGACCTAAGGGAGCACTAAGTGCCATCAGGAAGCGAGGGGACTGCGCTGTCATGAAACGTCCTGGGGAAGTCTGGCTTGCTTTATCTTTCTTCTCACTCCAGAGAACGATAAATGACACCACAAGATAACAGGAAGCAAAATCCCAGACCTGATATATTATTTTTAATTGCACTAAATTGGGAACAGCCATTTAGTCTTATAAAGAATTTTATTAGGTCTAAAAATAGGTTCTTAAATATTTTTCAAATTTGGCTAAAATATGCAAAACAATTATATAATCAGTGTTTAAAATAAATCACCATTTTTTTATAACTGAAGCCCATTCAGTGGAATAACACTTTTCAAGAACGATAGCACATGGGGAGTTTTACAGCCTCAGCAGATCCCCAGACAATATTTCTCCTATGGCTTTTCAGCTGCCTGGCCACAGCCTGTTCCTCACTGTCCTGCAGAATCCTACCAGTGAGCACACCGCTGGGGAGTGGGACCCAGGCTTCGGGAGAGGCAGCTGCAAGGTTTTTGTACAAAGTAAATAATTGGTCTGTTGATGTATCCCTTTTCATACTTTCTTATCATTAAATGAAAAATTTCATAAATAGCCTTACATAAATAATAATCTCAGAAGTTTTAACAAGTTCACACCGTCAGCCAGGACTGAGTAAACATTCTCTGGTCTCTCACTGCTTAAACCATCTTTGTAATTATTCAGAAATACAACAATCCTAATCTCTCTTATTGTAAGAGCAGATCATGTACTTTCAGTAAGAGTTAAGCTGCAGAAGAAGATTTGGCAGTTAAGTGAAATGCATGTTACAGCTGATGCCCTTTTTTTTTTATTAGAATAACTGAAAAGATTAAGCTCCAGTGCAGCTAGGGCTTGAGTCATGCTTTTATCATTGTAATCTCTTGGCCTGATACAAACTATATTATTAAAAATGGTAGCTCAAGCTGATTCTGTACTTTGTTTACCTACAGCCAAGCTCAGCCAAGTATCAGCTAGCCTCATGAAAAAAACGTAGTCGAAGGCTGTGTACGTACAGGCTCTGCTAATTGCTTTCACAGACTGTCAAAGGAACGCTGATACTAATAGATTTCTTAGTACGCCTTTAAACAAAGCACTCATATCTACACATAGGGAAAAGCACTCCGCAGAGCTGGTTCAGACGGCACGTTCATCTCCGTTTTGCCTTAGTTTGCCCTTTTGGGAGAAGTGATTGATCACCCCTTTTCGTTGCCAGAAGGAACTGCAGCGCGTTCCCCGGTGCTCGGCGTTGGCACCTCAGCAGCAGGGACACCTCTCTCCCCCGCTGGCTCGCAGACGATCAGCAGCTTTCGGATGCCGGGGGCCCGCTGCGCGGGGTCGGGCGTGGTTCGGGGCCGCCCCAGAGACGGGGGCTTGGCCGCGGCCGGGCCGGGCAGCCGCGCAGCCGACGGGCGGCGGCCGCCCTGCATCCCCGGCCCGGCGGCGGGCGCTAGACGAGGGACTCGCAGACGGGCAGCGAGTCCGAGTCCTGGCTGTGCATGGAGCTCAGCCCTGTGTCCGAGTCCTCGTCGTTGTCGGCGCCGTCCTTGTGCAGCGCCCGCGCCTGCTCCAGCCAGCCGCCCGTCGCCGCCCGCCGCCCTCCGACCGCCCCGCGCGGCTCCGCCGCCGCCTCCGCCACGTCCAGGGTGCCCAGCGTCTCCAGCAGGCGCTGCAGCTCCCGCTCCCTGTCCTCCCACGCCCGCTGCGTGTAGTCCAGGTCGGTCTTGACGGCCTCCAGGTCCGTGCTGAGCTTGAGGCCGATGTAGAGGCTGGTGCTCAGCTGCGTCCTGACCCGCTCGTGCTCCAGCTGCAGCTCGCCCTCGCCGCCACCGCTCAGCTCGGTGGTGTCGCAGTCCGTCTCGGCCAGGCCGGGCCCCGCGGCCAGCTCCAGCCCCTCCCGCCGCCGCTTCATCCAGCGCTCGTTGAGCTCCTGCTGGATCTCGGCGGCCAGGTGCTCGAGCAGCTCCTCCTGCTGCGCCCGCTGCTCCTGCAGCTGCAGCACCGCCTCGCACTTCCTGGCGTAGTCCTCCTCGGGAGGCGCCTCCCGGCTCGGCTCGGGCTCGGGCTCGGGCTCGGGCTCCCCTCCGCCGGCGCCCACCAGGTAGGTGTCCTGCACGTAGTTGACGCCATGCCGCTTCATGCGGTCCAGGTGGATCTTGGCCTCGTACTTGTCGATCTCCCGGTCCAGCTCGCGCAGCCGCTGGATCTGCTGGCGGATGGTGTGGTCCTGCGAGAGCACCAGGTGCACCAGCGTCTCCATCCTCTCCGCCGCCGAGGCTTCCCGGGCCAACGGCTGCTGCCGCTTCTTGTTGATCTTGGCCAGCTTGCGGAAGGCTTTCCGCACTGCCCGCCGCTGCCGCTCCTGCGTGAGCGCCAGGCTGCCGCGGGCCGCCCCCAAGCCGTGGCCGGGGCGCTCCTTGCTGAGCACCACCCGCGCCTCGGCGCTGCGCGGCCCCGCGTTGGGCAGCGAGGCCTCGCTGCGCACCAACACGAAGCGCACGTTCTCCTGCTCGTCCCCCCACGCCACCCAGAGCCGCAGGATCTTCGTCTTGTTGGGCAGTATCCGCTCGAAGCCTCGCCACTTCTCCACGATGCAGTACGAGTGCGGCGGCCCCGACAGCATTCCGCCGCCGGGCTCGGGCGGCGCCGGGCGCTGCCGCCGGTGGTGGCTGTCCTCCAGCAGCACCCGCACCACGTCCGAGCAGGTGGTCCGCCGGGAGAGCCCGGAGATCAGCTTCTCCTCCTGGCAGATCCACACCGAGATCTTCCGCTCCTCGGGCTCCATCGGGAGCGGCCGCGAGCGGCCGGCCGGGGCCGCGGGCTCAGCGGGACCGGCCAGGCTGCCGCTCGACGCGGGCGCTCCGGGGAGCTGCGGCGCCGGCCGGCCTCAGCATGGCCGGGCCACCTCTCTCGCCGCCCGCCCGGCTCCGGCGCTGCCCTCCTGCCTCCCCGCCGAGCGCTCTGCCGGCCGCTCCACCCCTTCCTGCCCCGCGCCGCGCCGCGTGCCGCCGGGAGGGGCCGGCGCGGAGCGAAGCGGAGTCCGGCGCGGAGCCCGCCTGGCCGCCGCCGCCCGCGCTCTGGCGGGGCCCAGCGCCGCCGCCGCCGGGTTTTCCTCTGCCCCCACGTGGGCGCCCCCCGCGGCTCCCGCCCCGGCGGCGGCCGCCGGCCCGCGGGCAGCACCGCCCCGTCGCTCCGCGCCGCGATCCGCCGGCTGGGAGCTGGGAGGCGCGGCGCCGCCGCCCGCTCCACTCCGCTCCCCCCTGCCCTGCCTCTTGCAAACGAGCGGCGTCGAGGGATCTTCCAGAATGCCGAGGGACAGAGCGAGTCCCGCAGCTTCAAAGCTAAAGGCAGAACCGGCGAGGAATTTCCAGTTTTAGTGAATCGGCCGCCTGTAATTAGGAAAGTCGGGTTTGCGAAGCGCTTCGCAGATGAAATATGCGAAGGACGGGAATGTCTGAGGGTTATTAAAATACTAGCCGAGCCAGATTTTAATGGGAGTTTTCTGCGTACTTTGATGGGAACAGGATCGGTCTCTGAGTGTGGATTAACATGAGGAGACGTACAAAGTGGGAATAAAAGGCAGGGCTGTGGCACGGGTTTTCGTGTTGTGATGCAGCGCAGGGATTCGCGGACCTGTGCTTCTTTTCTGTGTGGCCAGAAAGTATTATAACGAGTAAAGGGGGAGAACTCTCTAACTTGAAGGTTGATCCGTACCTTTTTGGGAGGTTTTCACAGCCAATAAAATCGGTGTCGCATGGGGATGATTCTCGTGTGGATGGATGCAGCCTGTGCTCGCGTCAGTGGAACAGGACAGGGCGGTGGCATTCCAACCTAACTGCTGTAATTCAGCAGCTTGAAATAGTGAGTTAACAATCCTGCAGCCTGACGCCCTGCTTTCTCCTCTAGTGCACGGCTCAACATGGGCGGCTGCTGTGCTCCCGTACTTGCCTGGAAGACACAGTCCTGGGGAAGAGCCTGCCCTCTGCTCTGGCTGCTTAACGTAGCTATTTACAGTGATGGTTTTTGCCATGCAGACTCCTACCCAGTGAGGAAGTGGGCTGAGAGACCACCGGATTCCTGCATTCCTGGAGCTGAAGATCACAAGGATCATGTACCAGCTGCCGACATTCCTTTCCTGTATTATTCCAGGTTAAACAATTCCATGGCCACTGCATGTTGCAATGAGGGCATGCAAGATAGGGGTGTCAGAACTAGGCTGAATTTTGCTTCCTGACCCTGGTCACCTCACAGTAATGTTACATTTTCCTGTCTGATGGTAAAGTACATGTATGTCGCTGCTGATTTCAGGAGCTAGTCATTTTGCTTTCACAATGTGTCAGAGGTGCTAGACACTTGCTTTGTGTAGAAGGAAGTGTTTGCTGCTGGACGGTTATTCCTAAGGTGTGCAGTCTTTTTGTTCTGTGCACGTATTGTGCTGAAAAGCATAATTCATTCCAGGTTGACAGAGAGGGTCATAACCACTTTGGGACAAAACCAGGAGCTCACACTGCCCCAAGATGGTAGGGTGTTGAACAGGAAGGGGGTGTCTGATGGGGCCATATGACAGCCTCTGAAAGGCTCGAGATGAAAAGGTCCCAGGAGCATAGGAAAAGAAAAGCCTTGCTGCTCTCATCAGGCTGGCAGAAACTTACTTGTAAGGACAGACCATTCCTTGTTGTGTGCTGCAGTCAGGTTCCACAAGAGAAAGGGTTAACTAGGCAGTGAGAAATTGTCTGATCCCTTTACCGGTGATTCCTTGCCTTTCCCATTTCATTTTGATCTCATTTTACATGTATTTCCTATGGGAATGTCTGTACCTACTTAGTTCTGGCACAGGACAATACAGGAAGAGCAGGGTGTGATGTGAAGAAATATCGTATTCTTCGCACAGGTCAAGCTGCTCCAACTTGTCTGACTGCCTGTATCTATCCAGCATCCAAGCCTGGCTTTGTATGATGGAATTGGAAGGTGATTGCTCCATCTTCCCCTGACCACATCTCTGTGTACAGAAAACTGTCTCTGCCTTCCTGGTAGAGCTCCCAACGCAGCACTGCCAGAGACAGAATAAAGGTGCTGGCAATTTGGTTGGAGGCAGTGAGATTAAGGAGGCAAACACTTGACTTCGGTAGGATAAGCCTATCAGATGAGTATTTATATAATCCGTGGTTAAAAGGTTGGCATCAGAAATTTGCATTGTTAGATCTCAAGTTTAACCCTTAGGAATTTTGTTTTAGTCTGTCTGCAGACTCAGGAAAATACCACCAAAGCTTCAAAAGTTTTGAGACCTTAAGCACATAAGCACCTTAAGCACTTAAGCACCAATCTGAAGCAAGGTTTGGGCCCTGCTGGGCTGAATCCCAAAAGGCAACTGAGCACAGGCAGCCCTTTGCCTCCAGGGATCTCAAAGGATCCTACAGAGGAAGGTAGCATTGTTACCTCATTTTTGCAGATAAGAATGCTGTGGTATAGAGGAGTCAAGTGCCTCACCTAAGGATATATAGCAAGGCAGTAGCAATGTCACAAAGCACATGGGGTTTCTTCACTCTGGTGACATTAGTCACTAAACTAGACTGTCTAGTGCTCTGCCTCCTTCCTCTCCTCCTCTTCTTCTTTTAATTATTCTATAAGAAAGGCAGATGAGGAAGTTCCGCATTAGTTCCACAACTACAGACCGATAACATGGAAGTGCAAGCTCAGCAGACAATATATTCTGCATCGCAAAGGCAGTGGAGTACAGGCTTCTTCAGACGTCTCCCACCTGGCAAAGTCAAACCCCTCCTGCAGTTGACAGTGTGTGCAAGCCTTGAGAGCGTAGGGTATGAAGAGGTGATGTCATCCCAACATCAAACGGCAGGGACGGACAGATGTTCAAACACCCCCCCCCCCCAAACAGAAGAATGATAAAAAATACGTAGGTCTCCTGTAATTTCTGAAACAAACATATCACAGAGTTTAAACCGTAAACGGTAATAAACATGATCTCCTGTAACCCAGAGGCTTTGTGTACTGCTGTATCAATGCACAGCTGTCAGCAGTCTCTGCATCTGAAGCACAACCTCCTGTGACAGAATGCTGTCCAGAACATTGCTGCATGGCATGCATTTTTTTGATTTGTTTTATTAATTACAAAAATTTAAAGTTGATTATACACTTAGCAGCCACCTGACCTCACAAAAGGAGATTTCTGAGCTTAACTTTTCAGGCTGTATTGAAAAGTCTAAGCTCAGGTTTATTATTACCTGCTGCAGAAGAATTACAAGGCAGAGTGATGGGAAATAAGCTATATTCTGGTATTTCACATGGAGTTCTTTCTCTTCCTTCCTTTTCTTTGAGGTGTGCAACTACGTTACCGAGTCTTTTGTGATAAGAACAGCATTTCTCATTATAGGGTTGGATAGTGAGGAGTCCAATGGTTTATTTGCTGGTTTTTGTTGTTTGTTTGTTTTGGGGGACGTCTTTTGAAATTGAGCTGACAGAAAGAAATTGTAGCCATGATATTTTCAATAAGTAAAATGATTCTCTTCAATAGCTGGAACCTATAATAAATAGATTAAAATGCATTTCCTGCTTCCTTATTTTATATAGCAAGAAAGAGGGGGGAGTCTTAGAAATCTGTATTTGAGACACAGAATTCACTTCTTTCAAAAGTGTTTAGATGGAGGAAAGTGTACAGATTCGGATTCGGGGTATTTTTATTTTTTTTTATTCCACATTGAAGCTGCTTTTACTTTTTAGATCACTCTCAGGACAATTTACTCGTTTTTCCTGAGGTTACAGTTCAAAAGAACACAATCTAAGTGAAATGAGTAAAGGCAGGCTGCAACTGGTAATCTGTTGAGCCATCGCTGTCTGGTGAAGTTACTCTTTGTTGTGATCCTGAGCAGCAATACTGCTTTCCCGGCTCCCCTTTGTATGTTCCTCTTAATCTTATTTTGCGAGGTTTACCTGTTGGTTCCTTATACTTGTTGCTTTCTAACATTTTTGTCTCAACCAATAAGGGCATGCTTTGCCTGTTAATAAAATATATTACAGCTTTCCTACTTTGTCAGATACGTGAATAGTGGAAGGGGCTACCTGCACTTACAGGCCACTCTCTCACAGATGCTTTTTTCTTTTGTACCTCGTTTTCCCTGAAAGTATAAAGCTGGATAACCAAACTGTATTGTGAATAACCAAATCATCCCTAGTTAGCATGCATGGAATGAAGTGCTCGAACAACTACCTCTATTAGCAGGAATATTCAAACTTTAGTCAAAACACTGTGTAGACTTAGACTTTCTTCTGAAAGAAAGCTGTTCATTTTGTATCTGAACAGCTTTAGACAAGACAGAAAGCTTGTTTATTTTGGGTTTTCTCTTGAAGCCACTGAAGGAACTGGCACTTGAGAAAGGTAACTTTGAAGAGTAATGAATTCCTCATCTGTTTCTGTATGCTATGAACTCTCAACACACTTTTTAACACACTTCTTTCAGTTTCTTGCATCTGATATGTACTTTCTTGTTTCAGAATACCCTGTATGCAACCAGTACAGTTTACAAACACAGCATGCAATAACTCTTTGCTTCACAACACTAATAATACATGCTTGTGTGATCCATTTGGGAAGACTGTGGTGTGGTCTGTTTGAATAATAGCTCTGATGCTGGATTATACTGCTTTGACTACTTTATCCAACTTTGGGTTTTGTTTGTTTTAATGCTCACACACCCAAACTACAAAAAGGTATGTCAGGAGGAACTGTCTTCCAGTGAAATCAGTGGGGGCTGCATGGGTAAGTTCCTCTGCAGTGCTTTGAAAATGCAGGTATGTGTATAGACTACCATTAAAGAAAATTATGATGACGTATATTTATATTACAGTACAGCCTGGAAGTCTTGATATGCTAGATGTAATGTAAATGCATGGGAAGAGACCATCCCTACCTTGAAGGCTTAACCAATGTCACACGGCAGGTTAGGGAGACAGCAAAGATCAGAACCAAGAAAATATTTTCAGCTTCTAATCTTTTAACCAAATATTTAAAAACCTGCTTTTGTTTATTTGTGCCTATAACTCTTAGAATGGAAAGGAATCCCTCTCCTTTTACACCTTATGTTTCAGATTTTCTTTTCTTGCTAAATGCT